GTTGCTCGCACTCCCTCATCTCCTTGGGCCCGTCTCTTCAGTCCCTTCTGCGCCTCGGGGGCAACCAGAGACCAGCGATAACCTTCCCGAGGCCGACTTGAAGCCCGGTTTTGCCCCTGGTATCGCTGCCTGCGAGGCGCCAGGCGGCCACGTCTCGCCGAGGTGGCTAAGTCGCCTTCCGCGGGTGGGGGGGAGGGGGGTGAAGGTGCGTACCCCGGGGTCGAGGGGCTTCCCCAGCTTGACGGGAGGGTGACACTGCCCCTTCAGACAGCAGAACTGCGGCCGTGCTCTTCCCCACCCAGCAGTTGCATAGCTCTCTTGCCAATGGTAGGGAGAGGAGACTACCATTGTGGGAAAATATACTTTGTTTTTTATGAGTGGCAAAGTCGTCCCTCTCCCAACAGTCACCTACCCCCTCCTCAGCTAGGGAACACTGTATCCCGTTTTCATCAACAGTAATAGAAACAAAGAAGATCCCTTCTTTCTTCAGCCCTTTTTTTTCTTGCGTTTTTTTTCTTCCTCCCCCTCATGGCTCTGAGCTGTAAAGAAGAAACACCCACGTATGTTCTTCCTCACTTATATGGATTTGAAGACTTTACATCTCCAGCTCAATTTCATGTCCCGGAATGGATATTTATGTACAAATCATCCCGGTATGGATTTGTTTGAAGATTCGACAAAATGCAGGACACCGAGCACCGAGAGCTTAAAAAATTATATCTCAGAGCATTTGCAGCAGGGGTGTTTGGGTGATGTTGAAGTGCCATGCCCCTTAAACCTCGGTGGCAAGGCTGTGCTTGCTGGACGCTCTGCTCTGACTCCTTGTTCCCTCTCACTGTAGGAAGTTGCTGTAAAGTTGGAGTCTCAGAAGGCTAGACATCCCCAGCTGCTGTATGAAAGCAAACTCTACAAGATTCTGCAGGGAGGAGTTGGCATCCCACATATAAGGTAGGAATCATTAATGTATGCCAGTATAGTGACTTTTCTTTAATGTTAGTGTGAGGCAGGACACCACCATTAAAAAGAGATTTATCTGGGAGGAACTGGGCTGCCTGGGGAAAAATGCCCCATTCCAAGCTCTACAACTAGTTCGATGCCTTCCCCACCAGCCCGCTGTCTTTTCTTATCTGTGCATACTGTGCTTTGAAAGTGAGATCTTCAGCAGTTCCTGAGCTGTGAGAAATTCCTCTCGTGATTACGACAAAGTGTGAGATGGTTTCAGTCAGAGCCAATGTTCTTGTTGAGGTTGAGAGTTTGGAGCCGATACTGGAAATGGCTGCTTTCTTTTGTTGCTTTTTTTTTTTGTTCCAACATGTCTTCCTCCTCCGCTCAGAAAATGGCGGATGGACGTGATTAACCCTCCCCCTTCTCGTGTTGGGACAAGGGACGTGCTCAGGCATGTGTCTTTCCCTTTCATAGTTATGTGTTGCAAGGCTTGAGACTGCAGAGAACCTCAACCAGGAATGAAATGGCAGCCCCTTTCTGTTACCCGCAACAGATGCGTCACTGGGATTTCCGTACAGTTAAAGTACCAGGATTAATCCCTCCCAATTGCTCGTTATGTGGCTTCTGTCTGAAACTTTCAATAGCGTTTAGTAATTTCCTGACCTGGAAGAAAATTGCTGGTGCAGCAGAGTCTAGGAGGAGTGATTTCTCGTGGAGATTATTGAGGTGTTATACTGGGTTAGTTCCCAGCTAACCAATTGACAATCTGTCTATCAGAACAGATTAAATGAACTTTCACTTTTCTTCAGAAAGACTTTGAGATGATGTTCTTTTTTTAAACTTCGTTAGTGATTGTTTCTAAAGTTAGTATTTCTTGTATTTGCATTAAGCCATAACAGAATTTTGTTCCTTGAGCTGCACATACTATTTCAGTTTAGACATGGGGCCAGACTGTGGATTCCATTTAATCTGTTAACCCTTGCCTGGCTCTGGTGTATGTACGCCTGTATCAGCAGTGGCCTGTAGGCTCTTTTGTGAGGTCATGGTGACATATTCTATACCGTGCTCTAATTTTGATGAAACTAAAACAACTCTGCTTGTACACAGCTGGCTGTGGTCCTGGATGTAAGCTGGAGCTGTGTAGCAGAGGGGACTGAGTCGGCTTGGCCATCTGTCCTCATTCACTGCAGCTTTTCTGCAGGAATAGAAGAAACATACCTGAATTAAACTGAATACCTGCAGCTTAAACAGAGTTGATTATGTGAAAACAGATTAAATCTTTATTTTAGACTACAGGCTTTTTTCTTCAAATGGGTGCCTTTATTTCACAACTGAGAGAATAGAAGTTGCGTTTTGGAAAGCTATCACAGTATGATTTACAAGCTAAAACAGGGATAACTGGGAAAACAGCCAAGGCAAGCAGATATCAGGTGTTTCATCACAAAAACTAGAAAAGCAGGCATTCTGAAACTTTTTCTAAAAGTAAATTAATGTTTGGTGCTATAATAAGGCCTAAGTTGCAATTTTTTCAGCTTTTCCACATAACAAAAGTGAGCTACTGTTTAAGTTCATGGATTTGGTTAAAATGCTCTGTGAGAGTGTTTTATTAAAAGCTGAAATACTGGAAGCAGTCTTACATGTTGAGAAACTTGCTTCCAGCTTCAACTATGGCAGTTACCTTTTAAGTTTTCTTTCCTCTGTATTTGATGTTTATCTGATTTTCTGTATAACCAGTGACTGTAGCTTAGAAGTCTCACCACCACAGGGGAGCTACAGCCTTTCTTTAATGCACTTGCTCCTCCCTTTCTCCCCCCGGTATTACAAGAATCTGGGTAAGAACAGACAGCTGAGGCAATACTCCAAACTCAAATTGATCCATAGGCTATGAGGGTGTGTGATCTATTTGATATTGTCAGAGAGTCCTGAAGTCTTTCACTTTCAGGTTCTCAGTGTTAATCTTGGTAGTATTTTTCTAGAGAAGTCTTTCAGAAAAATTTTGCAGGTATCTTTTGTCTTCAGAAGCAGCATTAATTGGAAGTCTGTTTGTATGTAGCAGATGCTGCTTGACAGGTTCTTTGACCTGGGCTTCTGTTACTAGTTGTTGTCCTGCTGCATGACATCTGGTGATGTTTGAAGAGATCTAAAGTAGTATTTTTCTGTTTATAATCTTTCAGAGGAAGCCGAGCAGGGTACCCAGCACAGTTGGTGTGATAAACGTCAAAACGTGATATGTTTAGTGGAAGTAGAATCCATGATACTCTGACGAGAGGGACTTGGTGACCAAACGAGGTTTATCCCTGAGGTGCTTAACAAAGATGTGTCTTGGAATAGGTGGTTACAAAGAGCAAGACAAAAGTGAAATTATTGCTCGTGCTGTTTCAGACAGTGCAGGCTTTCCTGACACGCGTTTTTGGCAGCAGCTAAGATGGGAGAATGTGCGACTTCATACTCAGGTCACTTTGCAAGTGTAATTGAGAACATGCGTTCCACCATTGTTTTATAATGCTATGCTGTCAAGTCGGAATAAGCTGTTCTTGGCTCGGTGTGTTTAGCAGGACGAATCAAATTGAAGGAAATTCTTTCAGTACATTTGTTAAAATTTCTGTAATGTTGCACCTTTAAATGACAACAGCACAAACAGAGCTTTTGATAGAAAATTAAGGAATGATTCTAAGCTGTGCTGTATAAACTGGGCTCAGCAGCGTTTTTATCTCAGTGCTGCACATCTGGGAAACAGAGGTGCGTAGTCTTGCATTTCTCACTTGAGAATGAGCAACTTGTTAGGATTCTTCATCTGCTTAAGTAATGCAGTGGCCGAAATCAATTTACTGGAAGTTGCATTATGTGGCTTTGCCTTACTGAAGTGATCTGCTGTGGTTCTTTGAGTCATAAAGCTGAAATAATAGGTGAGGTATAGATTGCTCATTCATTTTGGGCACCTGTTAGAGCTGAATTCTGCCCTTTAGATGTGATGCAAACTTAGTCATGATAAGATGGCATGTCTGGAGTGTCACTTAAATTATCTACAACCAAGTGATTTTTTTTTAATGACCTTCAAGGTTGATTTTGTGGCCTTTCTGTCTGACTGCAAGAAAGCTAATGAGCAAAATCTCACTTTTGGAGTTAAAAGTTTTTTGATACTGCTTCTGTGGGATTAACTGAGCCCTCACTTGTCATGGAGGGCAAACAAGAGGCCTTAGTTCTACCCCTGTAATAGAACACGTTTGCACATAAAATAGCAAAAAATGAAATTGGAATGTCTTTATTCTCTGAATATTCTAAACCCTTTGTGACTTTGCTGCTTATTGTTGTTTTCTGGAAGAGTAGCAAAGTTTCCAAACTTGTCTCCAGAGTTTCAGAAAACCTTATATCAGTGCTCTACAGATTTCTAAGCGGTGGTATGTTCTTGATGCACAAATTTTGGTTATTACCTTGGTTTTTCACAAAAGGCTCTTGAACCACGCTTAACATTGTAACAATCTGATCTGCCTTTAGGACACAATGCAGAGTCTGCACTATTCTGCTGGGCTTATTCTCATTGTTCTCAGCCATCAGCAGTCTTTTTCTTTTTTCCTCTCTTTTTCAGTGGCAAAGCATTTTTAGCTGTAATCTTGTTAACTGGGTGCTAATCCTATTAGTTTGGACTCTCTACCTTTATTCCCCAATTCCTGGTTTTGGCTTGGAGGAATGCAGCAGTGATTTTTGTGTTTTGTATTGTAGTGTAACTCTGTTAAAGCACTCTTGACAAAAACAAATGTTTGAATTATCTGTGACAGCCCCTCTTGATTTTTGCCATTTATGGTGTTTGTCAACTTTTGTTCAAAGATTACCTTTAGGTACTCGTTCAGATGCACTTTTGAAAGAAAAGTGGTCTTCACATTTTTCTCTTGACAGTATCATGGGATAACTTGTTGTAGTTATCAGTTTCAAATGAGAACAGCTGTGCTGGAATGAGCTGTGGCTCCTGGTGAGGTACTGGAAGTGTTGCACTTAAGAGCAGAAGGGAGAGCCTTGTGGATGTGAAACTCGTACTGCGTGTATCTGTTGTGGGCAAGGCTGAAGTGATACTGTACAGCATGTGAGGCTCATCGAGGTGATATTTAAGTTTAAAAACCAAAAGCTACTGACAGTGTTTTTTTTATCTTGCAACATCCTCTTGCAGACTTAACAAGTAGGTCCTTATGTTTCTGAACTTTTCAATGCAGTACGTTTTTGCGTAATATTTTTGTTGAGAAATTCGATATTGCCACCCATGTATCACTACGCAGTCTTCTAATGAGTGAATCATATTTTAAATGTTCTGGCAAAAAAATAAAAAAACCACCTCCAATTTTGTTATTCTGGTTGCTTCTTGCCGTTTTAATGGTTAATCTGTTAATAACAGGCTCTGCAAGCAGTACTTAAAGATCTGTAAACACACCTCTCAAACACCTTCATTTTAAACTCTTCCCAATAACTTCCTGCAGCCAAACAAAAAGCAAACGCCACCACCAAAAAAATACCTACCAAACCCACAACCAAAAAAGAGCCCTCTTGTGCTTCTCCCCAGCCAGAAAGAAAAAAAAAACACAAAAAACAAGAAAAAAACCACCAATAAACAAAACCGCTCAGACCTATTGAACCTGAAACTAGTAGTCAGATAAAGAATGAAATGTTTTTATTGTCTTTGCATTGGCAAGACTGATACTTTCATCTGGGTCTGCGAATAATGAGGAGGAAGGTTTTAGTGACAGAGCCTCCTATTAATTAATCTTCTGTTATTACTTAAGGCTGCATGCTGAAGGGCAGAACCACACTAGTAGATAAAAGGAAGCTACTTGTTCTGGTAGCTTAAAGTAAAATTGAAAGCTGGTCTTTTAAATTAATGCCTAAAATTTTTCTACTGTGAGAATGAATATCTTTAAACCAAATCTGTTTCATGTTTTATAAAAAAATCTAAACTTCTGCCATAATTGGTCTTCATGGACTCCTGAGAAGCATCCGAGAAACACCACAGTTGGAAA